ACATATTTACAGAGGATAGGTCCATCCATGGGTATTAGCCACGGCAAAGAGATGGAACCTCCGCATTCAGAGGCAGGATACTAGTGCTGTCGGGTGACACGAGACTGAGAGCCTTTTGAGAGCCAGTTTGGTGTCGTGGTTAGGAGTGCGGACTCTAATCTGGAAGAACCGGGTTTGATCCCCCACTCCTCCACATGCAGCTGCTTGGTGACCTTGGGTCAGTCACAGTTCTCTCAGAGCTGTTCTCTCAAGAGTAGTTCTCGAAAGAGCTCTCAGTCCCATCGACCTCGCAGGGTGTCTGTTCTGTGGAGGGGAAGGGAAAGGAGATTGTAAGCCACTCTGAGACTCAGAGTGAAGGGCGGGGTATTCATCCTTGTGGGAGTCCAAGTCGTATTTATTTATGGACTTCTTTTGTACCTGGCCGTTCTCCTTAATGGGGACCCAAGGCGGCTTACATAATTCTCCTCTCCTCCATTTTAGAAGAAGAAGAGGAGATTGGATTTATACCCTGCCCTTCACTCGGAGTCTCAGAGTGGCTTACAAACTCCTTTCCCTCCCCCTCCCCACAACAGACACTCCAGGAGGTAGGTGGGGCTGAGCTCTGAGAGAAACTGCTCTTTTTCAAGAACAGCTGTGCCAGAACTATGGCTTGCCCGAGGTCACACCAGCAGCTGCATGTAGAGGAGTGGGGAATCAAACCCAGTTCTCCCAGATTAGCGTCCGCACACTTAACCACTACACTAACAATGACCCTGTGAGGTAGCTTAGGCTGAGAGGGTGTGACTGGCCCAAGGTCACCCAGTGGGCTTCCATGGCAGAGTGGGGATTCGAACCCGGGATTCCCAGATCCTAGTCTGACAGTCTAACCGCCGCACCACACCGGCTCTCGTCGGATTAGCCGCCCAGTGAAACACGACGCCGGACTAGATGGACCATCGGTCTGATTCAGAACGGCTGCTCCCGCGCGCGACCCCGGCGCTGTGAACGGAGGAGAAAGGGGGTGAATGGGTGACACAGCACGAGAACAAGCCGGTTTTCACCCGTCGGGGACAAGCCTCTGCCGTAATGTAGAAGTCTAGCCAGGGACAGAGCGCGTGTTTGGCATGCGCAAAGGCTCAAGGGTCATTTCTGACCAACTCCAAAAGCAAAACCAGGGAAGGCCCCTTCCTGAGGGCAGGACCAGATTCATCATGATTCCACGATCCCCCCCTTTTTACTGACCGTTTCTCACTATCTGCAACGATGCAGAGCGGTGTAGAGGGAAAGACTGGCGTTGAGGCGAGAGAGAAGAAGAAGAGAAGAGATTGGATTTATACCCCATGCCTTTCACTACCCAAAGGTGTCTCAGAGTGGCTTACAAACTCCTTTCCCTTCCCCTCCCCACAACAGACACCCTGTGAGGTAAAAGAAGAAGAAGAAGGAGAGATTGGATTTATATCCTGCCCTTCACTACCCAAAGGTGTCTCAGAGCGTCCTACAAACTCCTTTCCCTTCCCCTCCCCACAACAGACACCCTGTGAGGTAAAAGAAGAAGAAGAAGGAGAGATTGGATTTATATCCTGCCCTTCACTACCCAAAGGTGTCTCAGAGCGGCCTACAAACTCCTTTCCCTTCCCCTCCCCACAACAGGACACCCTGTGAGGTAAAAGAAGAAGAGGAGATTGGATTTATACACCGCCCTTCACTACCCAAAGGTGTCTCAGAGCGGCCTACAAACTCCTTTCCCT